GCCATCTGCTGGGAGACTTGCGAAGTTGGTTGGCCACTGTGAAAACAGACAGCAGGCACTGCTTATGTTCTTATGAAATACGGAATGTGAAATGCAGATTTGCACTTTAAATGTGAGATTTTACTCTCTTGTTTGAAATTCAAGTGAAATAAAGTTTGTTGATTTGAGTAGTATCTCATATTCTATTGATACTCTTATTCTGTCTGATACAGCATGTCATTTATGTCAGCTATTAAATATGATAAAATAAGTTCCACTGCAAGTCTAGAATTAAAAGCTATCAAACATAACACGTGGAAGTATATTATTAGATACTATAAGAGATAGATAAGCTCAGAGGAATTTGGGGGATTTGTCAGGAATTTTATCCTAATAAAGAGGTTTGGCTCTAGCCAAACAAACTTCATTTTTAGGATGTGTAGTTAGCTGAAACAGCACAGAATTATTTTATTTATTTATTTATATTTCAAATTTAGATTAATAAGCAAATGTTCACTATGCTCACATGGGTGCAAAGGTGCAGTTTGGGTGTGGTGGAATTGCACACTGCACTGCCGAACAGCCACTATAGATTAGAAGACAAACCCTATGGTAGGTTGCTGTTGAAATGCCACTATTATGATACGCATGTACAAACATAAACTTTTGAGGGATTTTCCACTTGCTTAGAAATGTGTAGGTGACCAAATGTGGATTAGCCAATGGGATTGCACTGTCTGAAATTCCTTATGTGAAATTGACTCTATAAGCTTGCTTGTATGTATCATTGGGGTCTTTCACCAGGAGATGTTACTTAGCATGTCCATGCCTGTCTGTCCAAGACTCTGCAGACTCTCAATAAAGTTTTGGAAACTTTTAATCCATGTCCTGACAGAGTAGAGGAACAGACCCAAACCTTGCCACCCAGGTGGCAGAGAAGGGAGAGGGGTGCTATGAGTTTTCTCAGGGTATTTCTCCAATAATACCAAAATAAGATATCAAATATGAAATCATTTTTCTCAGTTTTGAGCAAAATGCATCCAAAATTGTTCTATATGTTTTTATGTATAGGTTGTAAATTGCCTACGGCTACAAAATGAGAGTGGGCGATACATACATTTTTTTAAAAGGGTTAAAAAAAACAAAACCCCCAGAGGATGACGGCTTCAAATCATGAATCTGAATGAATTCTAAACCTTCCTGGGTTGAAGCAGGATAATTTCGTGCCTGACTATCTTGAATGCATTTACTTCAGTGTATGAGATCTGGAGGTACTAGTCCATCGAAACAGCAAAAGATGTGAACCTTTAACCAATAGGTCTGTGTTCAACTGCATTGGATTAACTGTTGAATATGCATTTTGTATGCTTTGAAATTTTACAGTGAAATTTTATCCATACTATAGAGTTGTGTTCACAATGTTAAGGTTAGGATTACACTCATTTTCATTAAAACTTTTTGCTTATACATTTTTAAAATGTATATATGTAGATTCATACATACTTGAATTTGGCATCCAGCTATGAATCATTGAAATGAAATTAAAAGAGAAACCAGTAAAATGGAATGAATTTCACTGCAAATAACAAGAGATTTATATAGGCTGTGACCTGCAATTTGGATATGGCAAATATAGGAAGGAATAACCTTGTTCTTAGGTTTACCAATAGAATAGCTATTGAAGAGTTATAGAACTATTTTCGCATATGGCATAAAGCATGTCAGTTGTGACAATGAAATTGTGTGTGGCCATTAAAGTATGTTCTTCATTACTGATATTGAAAACGTCGAAAAGAAAGACTGGAGGACTTTTTCTCATTACATACTGTAAATAATATATCAATAACCTTTGTCTTTTGAAGCTTAACCATATAATATGATTAAATGTATCTTTCCAGTAAGCTCTCCAACATCCTCTATCCAGCCTCCAAAATAAAACACCTGGAAGCATTAGTAATTGTATTAATCGCAGTAGTTGTAAACATACTATTTGTTTGTTCGTTTGTAAGATTTAGATACCACTTCAGTCTATTATCATTGATAGATGTGCTGGTCCAAAGCAGTATATTTTTCTTTTTTTCTTTTACTATATATCTAACGAAAAAAGTCAATATTTTAGTTGTTCCCAATAAAATATATTGTTCTTAATTTTAAAAAGAATGATAATTCTAAGTGTTTATTATATTTCATTTCAGGTTACTGATGTGCCGTAAAACATTAACTGATATTACGTGAACAGGTGGAGATGTTGATTTTATTTTGTAACTGGGAGCCTAACTCTTGTAGGTTTATTTCTCATGCACCATAATGATAAAAACAAAAAGAAAGGATATGAAGAAGCAGGCAATGAAAGCTTTCTGACCTCAGTTTCTTTTGAATAAAAATTGGGGTGACTGTATTCAGATTTCAGTGGAAATATGAGGTGCACAATATAAGGAATGTGAAAAAAGGAAAAACCTTCTCTCCCGTTTGTTTGGCTGACTGAAAAGGTCCTCTGAATTCCAGAAATGTACATTTAGCACACTGATCATTCTGTACATCTACACTGCAGAGCTCTGTAACTCATCTAAATTATGCGAACCCCTGATTCATGCAAGGCAAGTGAATATGGCCCTAAAGGTACTTTCTGTCATTGTTTCAATTACAGAACTATGTGGGTAACAGGCTTGGATTTGACAGCAACTGAAGAAAGAGGATATTATATGCATGCCTTCAATCAGCTTTGTATTTGATCCTTAAAGGGAAAATTATGTGAGAGACAGGGGAGGAAAACAACAAACTAAGCAAGATCCCAATTTCAATATAATTTGGAGAAAATAACTGATTTGGGTTGGACATTTTGCCAAAATGGATGACTCAAGGCTTCCAAACAAGAAATGGAAACCAGAAGGATGCCTAAAGCCTTAAAGAAGAACAAATTGGGAAGATATGATTGACTGTAATGTTTCAAAATCAACTATTGCAAAGACGAATTTGGGTGGTTGCCCAGAACACAATTGAATGGTGATGTTCATTTAGATGCTTAATGCTGAAACAAAATAATGCATTTTAACTGTGCTTCAGTTTAACATGTAACTGTTAACTCTTTCCAATTCAGAGACGGGGTCTTTGGGGCTATGGCTGATGGAATTGTGCTAGTCCTGGGGTAGAAACCAAAGTATAAAAACAGTCTAAAGAAAGGGGGGGCAGAAAAGAAAAAGGTATTAAGCATGGTATAAAACAGGAAATCTCTCAATGTTTGTAAAACCTTTAGAACCATCTATGTATCAGTCATCAGCACAATACCTGATTAAATATAACTCTCATAGCTATAAAAGTACTGAGGTGTTTCTTGCAGGCTTCGGGAGATCTTCTGATTAACCCTTGGGTGGCAGGCATGGCTCCATCTTCTAAATTCTCAGTGGCCATCTCCTTCACTCTGTGACATCTGGATATAATTTCTCTATGTACTATTTCTAATTTCTACATGCACTGAGTTGATCTGTCCTTTGGGATACACTGGTTGTCTTTAAGTCATTTTCAGAGCAACAGTAGCACCCAATGCACAGATAACTGAAGTGAAAACTAGGTCATGTGCGTGTTATGCAGGCTTCTGTCAATTGCTGAAAGCCATGTGAAAATTGCAAAATATTAGAAGCTCCTAAAAACACCGAAAGAAAAATAGTAGTGTGGTAAATGTAACTGACAGCATAGAAAATACACTGTTAAAGCAAGGTCCATCATCAATTTGAATACAGAACTGTAAAATCCTTGGGAGGAGAAGAATGGCTTTTGCTGGCCTTGAACGGTCCTTCAAAGTGGGCACCCGTCATGTTTTCCTGGGAAGGGTATTCCATAAGCAGAACCCTGCCTACAAGAATCTTCACTGCCCTTGGCAGGGGCAGGCCAGAAGGGTCACCCGGGAGGAACCCAGACAAGAACGACATGGGAAGAGGCATTGCTGAGATACCCCAGCTGTTGAGGGCTTTAAAAATCAACAGCACAGCTTTCCATTGGGCTTGGAAGTGGACTGGCAACCAATGCAGCTACTGAAGCCTCACTGTGATTTTTGTGCATTCATAATCCTGCCTCTTGAAAAGTTTTGAAGCTTGGATAAGGACTGCAGTTTGAAGAAGGGAAGAGGGGGGTGCAGTGAATATTTCTTTTTTCTGTATGATCCACCCCACAGAATTTCCTATAGACTGACCTTTAATAAAGCAAGTGCTAAGATGCATTTTTTGGGTCTTAGAAAGCTGCACTGCATTTTAGAATCTGCTTTCACTGTTTTCTTCAAAGGAAATCTAGTTATAAAATGGTAACAAAGGGCCACAGGAGGACAGTATAATGCTATTCAAATTCAGCACAAAAACTCAGATTCAGTTGACTTGACATAAGTAATTGAACTGGATTGGTTTAGGGAAAATATGCTCAAATCTAATAGTAAAATTAAATTGCCAAGTAGTGTACTTGCACATTGAATCACATTTCCAAAGAGCCAAAATGTGTTCTCCAAACACATACCATTTCCCCCGCAGTTTTTGTAATCATTTTCCTTTATTAAATATGATGTTGCCAGCCTGAAGCCTGACTACTTAAACAATCAGCGATACATCAATCACTCCCCCCCTCCACCTTGTTTTCTCCTTTGCGGAGAAAGTTGCTTCCTATCTGCAAAAAAGTTGCCTAATCTGCAGAGGTTGTGTGTGTTGTGATTGGGCTTCGTTGAAATTATGCTTCTTGTTTCACTGTAAACTAAAATTTGGACAACAGTCCTCAAAGAATGTATTCCAGTCTAATCCTGTTGAAGTCAGTGGTATTATCTCAGGAGAAGTAATTTTAGGACCGCAGCAATAGTTACACAATATGTACAAAACCAGAACTCAGTTGTTGACAATAAGGGCTGTTCTGAATAATTAAGAAAGCCTTGAGATTAGTTGTTTTATTCTGAAATGAAAACAGAATTACCACTTGGCTAATGTTCATACATACCTGGAGGTGTGTTTTTTTTTTCATGTTCTTTTTTGTCTTTCTTTATTCAATAGGCTGTTTGGTTTCTACAAAGGTCTCCTCCCTCCAATCTTGGCTGAAACACCCAAAAGGGCAGTAAAGGTGAGTCAATCTCCATCCTCCCAAAGGGAGAAAAATCCCAACACTAGGATTGCTGTTGAGTTCTTGGTCTCTCTGAGCTTGGTTGTTTGCTTGCAGACATTTCATTACCCAACTAGGTAACATCACCAGCGGTCCACAGTTCAATCCTGAGCTACAGATATTCTATTCTGTTGGAACTGGGATGACCATAAGTAACAAAGTAATTCTACTCCCCTCCCAAGATATCTGGCCAGAGGACATTAGGAGGTAGTGGAGAACCCTCTCCAGCTGTGGGTGCAGAGGAACTCTGCTGCTGCTAACTGGAAGGCATGACTACCCTAAATTGTCTCAGATACACCCATGGAAGCTCTGTATCTTAAATGTACTGTATGGACTTCAAATAGGCTTTTCCTGGATATGGACAGGTGACCACAGGGTGTCCACAGGACATGGTCAAAAAAGTCAATGGCAACCACCAACCTGAACTTCTCTATTTCCGGCATGGACATTTTCAGTGATTTGCCACTTCAACAGAAAGCAGAGATTCCACAGCAAATTAAGGGAAGTGTTGAATCCATTGAAAACAAAGGCCTTCCATTTCCATAATTAGAATAAGAACAAAATGAAGCCAGCCCTGAAGCTGGTCACCTCCTCTGCCTTCAAGCACTACCCCCCACAGCTTCTGCCCTGCTTTATTCATTTATTCTAGAAAACATTTAGCTCTCTGTGCTTATACAGAATCATATTAAGGCAATATAAATGATACAATCAAGACTTTTTTTTAAAAAAAAATAAACAATGTATCAGGGAAATGTTACACTGGGGCTAGATAAATGCAAGGCTGTGTCCTCAAATGCTGGAATCTGTTGGGAAATAAATGAAGAGTTAAGCAAGTTTCAATGAAGCTTTGCAACAAACTACAATGGTGTTGACTATCTTTGTTTAGAGTTCTGCCTTTCTGTTTCAATTCTCCCTTCTTTTTCTCTGGATTTCTTTTGTTTTTTCCTTCCTATGAGTTAGCATTTTATATATATGAAGTCATAATTGGGGGATTTTTTCAGGAGGTTTCCATTTTGCTTTTGAGGGGGGTGGAGTGGAACAATCCTAGATGCATTATTGTAAATCTTCAATCTAGTTTATCTGTCCTCTAAGGAAAAAATAATGTTAGGGAAATCTCTATCAGAATCAAACATTCTCTCTACATATTTAACTGAGAATTAGCCCTACTGTATTGAGTAGTTTAACACTGAGTTAACATTTTGTGCCATTGATTAGCTGTAATAACATTTTGGTATTCATCCTCCTTACAGCTTTTCCTCCTATATTTGGGGGCAGCTGAAAATGTTGGAATGATCTGCAAATCTTTTGAGATCTCCCTGACGGTGCCCTTTTGACAATGGCTCTAAACATGGGAAGATTTGAACTGGAAATATAAGAGATTATGATGCCTTTAATAATGTTAGATAAACTTCTTAAACCATTTTTAAAAGTATAGAAAGTTGAATGTTGTGCAGATGCCACACTATCTGTTTGATAGCAGTAGCCTGATTTTACCTCCTGGAAGAAATAGAACTCAGTGTCTGGCAGCTTCCTTACATTTCTAGTGCAATTGTAAATTATTATTTTTTTTGGCTACATATAGTTTGAAAAAAGAAAAAATATCGAGTGCTTGATTTTGATAAAAAAGAGACTTTGTCATAATTTGCCTGCATGTGCACAATTATACACACCTCACACATTTAGTGACAAATAGGATGTTTACAAATAAGCCTCTCACACAATAACTAGCACATTAAGCTGATGTAAATGTTTCATTTAAGTGTGGATTATTTTAGAAAGAACCTTGCTTGAGAAAAAGATTTTTCATAATGTTTTCAATGTTAAATGGTGGCTTAATCACGGGGAAATTACATATTGCCCCATTTTATTGGGAGTTAGTTACCCTTGGAAGTGAAAGTGAGGTCTTCTGATCACTTACTTTCACATTTGGAGGTGGGGGGGTGTACTAGATATCCCTTGGAATCGCTTCCACGTTGAATACTGTAATTTAAGTCTATGGTGGTAATTTTACACAGCTGCATCTCTACCTGCCACTTTCATCTTGGTTACTTTCGGAGAAAAGCTGCCTTGAATTACAGAACTGCTGTGCTGATAAAAGATCATTCAGATAAACAAACAAGGCTGAGTTCCTGTTGAGAAGAAAAATATAATTGTCTATTCCTTTCGTAAATCCATTTGCGTGTAAAAATAAAGCCATTATAATTAAGGTAATATGTCACTTGGACGCCATGTGTCAAAGACAATTTCACTTTGAAGAGTTCAGATCCTTTCTCACTGTGTTTGTACTTCTTTCTGTCTTTCTTCCCCCACCCTCCTGAAAGAAAGCGGGTAACTCTGAAGGATGAAAAGCCAAAGTTTATAGCCCTGATTTAGTCTGGACTTGAAGAAAAGACATGAACAGTGCCAGTACAATGGTTAACAGATGATCTTGTTGGGCAAATACATCTTTTGCATGTGTTCCCAGACTTTTTTGTATTAAGGTTATTGGGACATATGGTAAATACCAGATTATTCCCCCCTCTGTGGAACTTAGATTTACATGTATGACCAGCACTAGTTATCAGAGATACAAAGAAATATATTTTGTCATTATTTTTCCTTGGATTTTATGAGGATAGCATTTTTTAACTTAACAGAACTTTTAGAATTGTTAAGCAGTAAAAATATTGAGAGAGATTCAATAAAGTAAGCCATGCAAGCAAAAATCACTAGGTTTTTTTTTTTTTTTTAACAAATTAAATGTTTTCTCCAGTTCAACTGGCTAATATTTGCCTTGTTTCTTTTTCCCCCCAGCTTCAGAAATGTAATATGAACAACTGATTTTTTAAATGAGTATAGGAAGCAACTTATATTTTGAATGCAAAATTTTAAGAATAAAAGATTGCTAGGTCATATAATGGAAAACATGAGGAACATAAAAGAAATACTTTATATTGCATGAAAATCTAATTGATTTCTTGTGCCATGTACTTATAGTTATTCTTCCTTAATTTTTACAACCGTCTTCAACCAACTGGTTTTTGCAAGTTTTTTCAAATCCCTTTAACTGTTTACTTTTGCTGAATTATGAACCATACTTTATATTCACTTTTGCAGGAATAAGCCCCACTGGATTCAAGGGATTACTTCTAAATAAACTGGTTTTAGGAAAGTGTGTAGCACACATTATATTATTGAGACTTCTAGACTTCATTCACTACAATTAAATTAGTTAATCATAGTGAATCAGCTAGTTGTGATTCCAAATTTTTGTGAGATTGTTTTAATGCCAGAGAAAAATACTGTGTAGAATTTTCATTTCATAATACCTGTATCTCATTCTGCAAATATTTTAAAAAGCATCTAATTTATTTATTTACCACAACAGGTGCTTGAGCTTCAAACATTTCCTTGCTTGCCCATTGAAGTATCAATATTGTTATGATGCTTCTGAACAAAATAGAATCAATTGTGTTCCTCTACAAATGCTCCTGGAAGTTCAACCCCCCACCTCCATGTCCATTGGAGTTGGGTAGCTATAATAAATTTAAATAAATAAAAATACACACCAGTTGCTCTCCTCACCAATAACTTGCTGGTTGGCTATCCCTCTCTTCCCTACATCTTATTTTCTTTGTTCTTTAATTTTAAAAGCATTGGCTACCAATCAAATCTGCATCTGGATCTGTGCTGTGTGAAGTGCTAACTCCGGGGACCTCTGGCCTGTACGAGTTTTGTAGAGATACCAAATAAATGGTATTTGGAAGGGAATTTGGGATCCATTTCTTTGAGCAGTGCTCTGAAATGATCAGACAACTGGCAGAGAAGCACAGAAGACCGACTGATGAGCCATTGCATACCAATGGAACGGCAAACAGGTCCAATGTGTTTAGTGCTAACATCTCAGCAGTAGCCATCTCAGACCTGGATGTCTTGAATATGAATGGTTGAAGAGAGCTGGAGGTGTATAACCAACAAATCAGCAGTTCAAAATCAGTGCAAGATCAATGCCTCTGCTATACCCAGTTTTTGCAGCTTTTCCCTTTTCTTTGCAGCTCCACACATCCTATTCTTTGATGGGATCTATAATGGATCTACTCCATTATAGATAAGTAGGAAAGGAAAGTCCCATTGTACGATTAGCCCTAATTTCATATGCCTCTGATCCGGTACATTTTTCCTTTTAAAAAGCAAGTGTGTTAGTGGCATATTAAAGATTCAGTATTCTGCTTGATACCAGAATGGCACTGAAGACTGATCCTTGTATCAAAATCTAGAATGATTTTGAATTGTGTTAGTTGCTATAGCAGTGATTACATAGTCCTATGATTTTACTATCAACAGATTTTGCTGATTTTTTTTGTTCATACTAAACAGTAAAAATAAAGGAAAAAGTTGTGTTGTATTCACTAAATGGAATAAGTAGGAAAGATTTCCATACTTCGTTAAGGAGAATATTGCTTTTGGAACAAGAAACTAAACATGTGACAGAAGATCGTCTACTCTTTGAAGTAAAGTATGATTAGGAGAGTATAAAGAGGACAATATTGAGATGTGAAACTACTATAAATTTGACTGGATATTTGTACAATTTCTCTCTCTCTCTCTCTCTCTCTCTCTCTATATATATATATATATATACTGT